GTTTGCTCTAAACCCTATACCCTAAACCTAAACCCTAAACCCTAAACTCTAAACCCTAAACTCTAAACCCTAAACCCTAAACCCTAAACCCTAAACCCTAAACTCTAAACCCTAAACCCTAAACCTCGGTTTGCTCTCAGCACGCCATGGCTCTTCTCGCCATGACATCGGCCTTGAACTGCTACTGAGCGTGAATGCTGGTGACATCTCCGGGCTAACGCCAACCTGTCCATAAGACCACTCGGCAAAGAATACCTGCAACAGCAAGTAGATGTGGGGTGCAAGCGGAGTAGAAGTCAAGGGGACACTGCACCAATACTCGATAGGATTGAGAAATGATGTCACCAGCATCAGCTGGTTGAGGTTAAGCACTGCTGACTTGACCCGTGTGCAGACGTCTCTCGCCGAAAGTCAACCCCTAAACCCTAAACCCTAAACCCTAAACCCTAAACCCACGAACTGGGCGCTGCGAGATCCCAGCAGCAACGGGAGGGGCATGGCGCCGACTCTGGGACGATCACCACCGGTTTAGGGTTTAGGGTTTAGGGTTTAGGGTTTAGGGTTTAGGGTTTAGGGTTTAGGGAAATCTTTCATGACTTTGACCATGGATGCCGCTGTCTTTGGAGTATGGTCCAGCACAGTCTCACCGAAATGACCCATGATGGCAGGGTGTTTAGCTCAAAACCCGTGAGTCTATGTTACTTCAGAGCTACACAAACACAACACACGAGCCAATGAAAACCAAACAATAATCATCTATATGTCTACGACACCTATATAAGAGAGCTCTCAAAGTACACCTGAAAACTCCAGTACACCAATAGAAAGCGACAACAAGCACACCAGTCTCAAGAAACATGCTAAGGAACAAAGAAAACCATTGCACTAACCCTTAAAGGAACCCCTAAAACTATCCCTCAAAGGAACCCCTGAAAGTATCCATCAAAGGAACCCCCAAAAGTACCTTTAAAGGAACCCCTTGGAGTACCCTTAAAGGAACCCCCAAGAGTAAAAGTACCCTAAAAGGCGGCAAACCCCAGAATCCCAAACCCAAACCAGGAAACCTTACATCCCACACCCTAAACCCTAAACCCTAAACCCTAAACCCTAAACCCTAAACCCTAAACCCTAAACCCTAAACCCCTGAGCCTTTACATCCCTGAGCCAACTCTAAGCCCCCAAACCTGTACAGGAACCCATAAAGGATCCCACAAGGATTCCCTTAAAAGGAGTCCCTAAAGCTACCCTGACACTACACCCTAAACCCTACACCCTAAATCCTAAAGTTACTCCCTAAAGTTACTAAACCCTAGGCCCTAAAGTTACTAAACCCTAAACCCCAAACCCTAAAGTTACTAAACCCTAAACCCCAAACCCTAAAGTTACGAAACCCTAAACCCTAAACCCTAAAGTTACGAAACCCTAAACCCCAAAGTTACGAAACCCTAAAGCCTAAAGTTACTCAAGTTACCCTTACCGGATCCCTCCGCCGCGCGCGGGCCCCACCGACCTGGTCCACCCCGGCTGGGCCCGCCGGAATTCAGATCGCCCACCGGGAACCCAGAAACCTCGGCGTAGGGTTTAGGGTTTAGGGTTTAGGGTTAAGGGCTTAGGGTTTGAAAACCGCTTACAGGTTTGAGGTTCAAAGATTAGGTTAGGTTTAAAGTCCTAAGGTTTACAGGTTAAGGTTTAAAGATTAGGGTGTAGGTTTAAAGTCCTAAGGTGTACAGGTCAAGGTGTAAAGTGTCCAAGAGGGTCCCTATGTCATTAGTAAACCATAATTAATAGGGATGGTTTTTGGGGACCTAGTTCCATACTGGTAGTGTAAATGGACCCTATGGGTGTAGGGTTTAGGTTTACAGTTTTAAGTTTCGGGCTTAGGGTTTATAAGGGTTCACAGTTCAGCGTTTAGGGTTGAGGGTTTACAGTTTAGGGTTTGGGGGGGCCTCGAGTGGAGGAAACCAGTTGAGGGCTTGCAGAGTTTTGTGGCGTTTTCTTCCAGGGGTTTGGGCTTAGGGTTAAAGGTCTGGGGCTCAAAGCGTAGAGTTTAAAGTTTCAGGTTAAGGGCTTGGAGGAAACTGCCAAGTTGAACTAAGCTGAAAACACCCAATGATTCGAATGCTAAACAACCACAGCTGACGTTGCCAAGAAGATGAGAGGCTGTCGCACCCAAAATGACTCCGAGAGACAGCGCTTGCGCAGCATCTGAAGCGTGTCACCGTGTGAAGACAACATCACTGCGTTACCAGCTTTCACAGGGCAAATCTATGCAAATCTTCTGATGAATGGCACTAGCATCATCTGACATCACTCACAGAACTACGGGCAATGATCATGCTCACAGGTGTCATAGAAGCGTTAGCCGTCAAAGCTTTCAAGCTACTGGGCCATCCCCTCTGAGAGTCCCTGCAGGTCTTCCATTATAATACCCCTAAACCCTAAACCCTCAACCGTTCATGATAGAGACTGAGGAACCAAGCTCCTACAAAGACCCTAATGT